TTCACTGAAGTGGAGATGGCAGGAGAGGAGAGAGTTTGGCGGGGAGTGTATGTTCAGATTGGAGGCTTGGGGTTTGAGGTGTCTGGGGAACACGGGAGCATCTGTTGGAGATATGTGGGAGGCAATGGCTAAACTGAAGGGAATCGTGTGTGACTTCCAAGCTCAATGGGGCAGAAGGGGTTTCTCAGGGCACTCGGAGCCAAGGGTGCTGAGAAGGCATTTGCTGGCTGGGCAGCTTTTCCAGCCTAGTGCGAGACTGGCACTAAATGACCGAGCTCATGCTTGTCAAGCCAGATCTCTCCATATGCACAGACGAGCAGGCAGCCATATTCCAAGAGCTGTTCCTGGGGGTGTATCCAAACCCCTCTGTCCCAGATCTCTGGAAGACATGACAGTGCTTAGTTTGGGCTTCGGTTTAACTGGCTTTTCAAACTTTATGTTAAAGAGATTTAGAAACCTTGGCTCAGTTGGGAGAATGTACTTTTTGGAAGTTACCAGATTGGAAGGCAGGCAGTTAATTCGTTTGCAGGATCAATCATCTGGAGGGAACACATGAAGGGGGCCCTGTGGGGTTTACCCTGATGTTCTCAGGGGAGCCCTGTCCTCCCACTTCCTGAGAAGTCCTGGCCCCTGGCCAGGCACACAGCACTGCCAGCGTGTGAGCAGGGCCAGAGCCCAGTCACGGGCTCCCAAGGTCAGTCGGGTGCCCCTGGCCAGGGTGGGGGGCCGAGAGGCAGAGGTGCTGCTCGCCGCGTGGTGTCAATTCGCTACTAGTTCAAGCGCATGTCTTCCACGCCTATTTCCTCGTTTGTACAATGGGTATTGTGCTTTCTTCCCTACCAGCTGGTAAAGACTCAGCGAAATAAGCACAGATGTAAAAGCACCTAGTGGCCTGCCCACCTTATTAGACACGGGGAGCAAAGCAGTTTCCATGGAGGGGCCACCTCCGCTGATTCCCCTGAAGAAGGGGTCAAGGCAAGATGTTCTGGCTGAGGGGTGAGTGGAGGACACTGCTTCTTCACCCCTCCACACCTCCAGAGAGGAAGGAATGTCCACTCCCCTTCCCAGGAGAGAAAAACACGGGGGGTGGGGATCCTTAGCTTCTCTCTGAACCCCCCTTGCTCACTCCTGCTAGACAGAGAGTGCTTCCCTCGGGGTTGGGGAGAAGAACTGACCATGCTCCGGGTTCCACGTGCCCTCACGGCGCCTTCCTGCGGAGCAGCGCATCCACAGGCCCCGCTGGGTGCTGCCTGCAATCGTCCCCTTCTCCTGTGCGGGGTAGCTCCGTCTTTTTAATTCTGAAGTGAAGTTTTAGCAAGCCCATCTGGCCTCAGGTCTAAAACAGTATTCTCCTTTCAGCCTTATCAGTAAAAAAGCTGGCATTTTTATCTCATTTGACTATCTCCTGGGCCTTATTTCTCAACTATTCCGAACTTGGGAGGGGAAAAAAAAGAGTTATTTAAAGCCTCTCTAAACCTAAATACTTTCCAAGGTAGGAACAGGCATTCTCAAGTTATTTGAGATTTTTGAACGCTTTAAAGAAACTGTCCAGGCTAAGGATGCAGAGGCTCCCTAAAAATCCATTTACTTTGCTCTTGCCTGGAACCATCCACAGGGCTCATCAGGAGCGCTGAGTGGTGATACGTGTGCCTGCTTTAGAAAACAAATGAACTGTTCGTGAGTTCAGTCTGTTGACAAAATATTTTTTAATTACAGGGCCCAACTTGGACTGCGGTGAGTGGTCCTGGGGGTGAAGAGGTGGCCTCTCTGGGGCCCTGAGTGCCCCGAGCTCACCTCACTTCTGTTCTCATCACTCTGGGTTGGACTGTCCATTTGCTAGTCTGTCTCCCTCATTACACCCCACAAGGACTTTTTTTTTTTTCAAACACATGGTAGATCTCAGTACATGGATGAACAGATGCATAATTAAATGGAGGGATGGTCATAGCCTCAAAGGAGGAAGCTGCAGTGAGGCCGAGAGGCAGGAGAGCACCTTCTCTCCCCTGGCAGAGGCAGCTCTGGCCAGCGCCCAGCACGGTTGCGTGTGAGGGCTCCACACAGGCCTCCTCCGGCTCCCTGCCACCCCACCCTGTGTCCACGCGAAGGTCCCCTGGCTGGCTACATGGAGTACTCCTGGAATGTAATAACCACCTCAACAGTATTCTGTCCCCGCTGGAAAGCTAAGTGTTCTTAAAGAATGGGATCCACAGAAATGCAAACCCAAGGCAAAATCTTTCTGAGGTTAGCGTCACTGTCTGGCTAGTTCAAATGATTTTGCGGGGACCCACTGGCTTTAACAGACATCAAACAGCTGAAATCCCTGCTTGGTGAGGGAGCTGGAGTGGGCTCTGTAGTTGGGCTGTCCTAGGTTTTTTTGTGCTGGCACCGTGGCCCTAGCCAGGTCCCTTCAGGTCCCTGGGCTCTAGCTCCGGGTCTCTAAAATGTGGCTAATGGCCCCTTCCTCAAAAGGCTAAGGCAGAGATGACACGCTTCCCCAAAACAGAATGCATACTGTTGGGGCCACATGAGTGGTGCAGGCGATGTATGGACTGACACTTAAAAAGATTTTTTTGATATGCCTTAGGAAAAAAACGGGACTAGGACGTCAGACCTGTGATTCTGTCAACGTCATTACTTAAGATGAGGCTAAAGCTGGTACGGATGTCAGGTCTGAGTCTATTTAAAGAAAAACAGCAAGGAAAAGAATAGCACAGATGGTAGGAGGGTGTGGCAAACATTTTTTGAAATGGAACTCAAAAGACTGTTCTTTGAGGAGAATAGAAAGTCCCTAAAACTTATCCTTGCCAGTAGTAGGTGCTCTAGAAACACTGCTGGTTCCAGTCACAGACCCAGCAAACCGGGCAGGCGCCAGGGAAAAGCACCAAAGGACAACCCCGCACGGGGACGAAGCCGGAAAGAGTTAAAAGAAAGGGGTCTGCGGTTTCCCTGGCCCATCCCCCCTGCAGCTAATCTGTCACCTAATGAAGAAGCGGCCGGCACAAGTGAGCTAGCTGGCAGTTCACTTACAGCAAACTGATTAAGAATGTTCAACCAACAGCAGACTGTAGACCTTTCCAGAGAAAATAAATAGAGTGTAGACTGTATGCAAATGTGTTTGTCACTTTGACAGCACGTCTCAATTAAGGCATCTTGCGGCTGTGGGTAGGCTCTGCGGTTGCAGCTGTGAGGGAGAGCCCGCTGCATGGCTGATACTTGGGGCTTGACCTTAATCCGCATGCACGCATTAAAAAAAAAAAATCCTGCCTTCCTGTACACTTGCATAATGCTCGCAGCCACGTGAGGGAAGTGACAAACGGGGAGAAAAAGCCACTTTCATCCTCTCCAGTTTACAGACCTGTGAAGGCACAGACAGCTCTTATTTCAACAGAGTTTGGGGTGGCTTTTTTAATTGTTTATCCCCCACCCGCACACACACACTCTTATTCTGCATTTAGCTGGGAATGACATTAAAGCATCTCTGCTTCTTGCTGAAATGGAAAGAAGGTTTTTCTCCATTTCAAACAGGGCCTCCTTTTTTGTGTTTCGAAAATGGAATGTTTAACACCATGAAATCCCTCTCCCCCGCCCCCTCTTTCTCTGTAATGGGCTTCAAACTCCAGCGAGGGGCTCTTTTCATGGGAAGGTTAGTGTGTGCAGGAATGAGGACAAAGGAAAGCAGGAAGCTGCCTCTGGAATGCCATGCTGGTTACAACGGGGGCTGTGCTTTCAGCAAACTCCGCCAGGAAACTGGGGTGCAGATTTCTCCAACAGGGCCTGAGCCCCAGAGGAGGCAGTTCTTCAGGGGTGGAAACACCACCAGCGGAAGAGAAGCATTAACCAAGTGAGCCCTGCCCCGAGAATGCTCCTTTCTCGCACTACATTTCAATTTTTATAACGTCCTTTTTAAGTGTAAAATCCGAAAAAGGGACGAACCTCCCCAAGTTTAAGATGTAGGAATGTATGATCTGAAAATACTGATTACAGAAGAAGATTCTTAAGTCAACAAACTCACCCCTTACCATAATAACCCAGAGCAACCATTTCATTAATTCTCTTCATTTTTAAAGAGCTCAATGCCGGTACACAGTAGGCACTTGATAAATGTCTGTTAAAAACAGGGCATTTAAAATGTATGTTTCTAGAGCCTTTATGTGATGAAAAAGCAATCGTATTTAAGATAAAGTCATAAAGATGATTTTAATGATGCTCCATCTAATAAATGGCTCAAGAATCAAGTGATTTAAAAATAAGTAACCTTGCAAATTGTTGTCACAGTCACATCTTGCTGAGAACCATTTTTCACAAACTAAATAATTATGACTTTTGCTCATCAAGAGAGTCAATTCAAGAGAAACGGGAGAGTGTACAATCTTCTTCAGCTAAAAATACAACCACTGCACGGAAATAGATTTAAAAATTCAGTTTCTATACAGAATACGATGTTTTACTTAAGGGGGAAAAAAATCAAACGAATAGACAATTTTTCAAATGCTCGGGTCATCAAAAATAGTTGGTGAAAGAATCGGATCTCTGGAATAGTAGCGCGGGTGTTTACTCTGAGAAGCACGACTCCCGATATTGATTTTCAGGAAGTACATTAATAAAGAACTCCTAATTGATTTTTTTTTAAGACTTCGCTTGTTGCCTTTTATTTGAAGGTGCAAAGAAGGGCCTGGGATGCTAAGTGTTCTAATGAGATGCTTAGCTAACGGAGGCGCCTTCAGCGGAGTGCCTTGGAGTGGGGGAGGCGGCAGCCGCATTTAATGACTTCATTCAAGAGCTGAGCTCGTTTATGACCAGAGCCATGCTGGCTCCTCAAAATTTTTGAAAAATTTCCCTTCAAACCACATTTGTACCAAATAAACATTCAAAGATGTGCAAAGCTCCATGGAGTGGTTTTGCCAAAGAGAGCAGAAACGAAAAGCCTGTCTGCCGCAGTGCTCTAGCTTCTGCTAAAAAAAAAAACAAAACAAGACCAGTCCAAGGGCCAGGGTACATACCTGTCCGAAGTGGACTGTGATTGGCCTCCGGTCTTCTCGGAGCTTCGGGTCCTTGGCCTCTACCAGTGGGGACGGCACAGTCTTTGGCAGCTGCTCTTCCATGGTGGGGGCACAGCCATTCTCGGTGATGTCCTGCGGGGAGAAGCCAGTCTGGGTTGGTGTTGGGGTCACGCTACCTGCCACGAGCAGATGCCCCCTCGCACCCCACAGCTCAGGGGCCTGCCACGGAACACTCCCTCTGGGATGTTCAGAGCCTCTCCTCCTGCTGGAGATGGAGGAAGTAGAAGGGTAACTTGGCTCTTTGACTTTTAAGGACATGAGAAACCAAAATCATACACATTAAATTACAAAGACAACATAATAATTCATAATAGCGGGGTGGGGGGAATTTTTTTGTCCTACTACCTTACACAGCTATTTCCATTTTTACATATTCACTTTGTCCATATGCATTTAAAAATTACTTGCAATCACAGCTCATGGATAATTTTACATTCTATTTTTTCCCGCTATAAGCATCTCCATGGTGCTATAGTCATTTGAATGATAATTTTAATAGATGCTAATATTTCATTGAGTGGATATATAATAATTTAATAAACCACTCTACTACTATTGGGCATTTAGATTATTCCTTATTTCTTCTTTTTTTTTTTACTTCCTAAATACCAGAGTGATAAACATTGCAGTTTTTCTTTCTTTTGGATTATTTCTTTTATAGAAATCCCTAGGAATGAAATTACTAGGTCAAGAGATATAAACACCTTAAGCCTTTTTATTCATTCTACCAAATTGCCTTCCAATTTACACCAACCACTGACAATGGGTGAGTTATCAGTTTCATAGTACTTGTTAGCCTTATCATTTTAAAAATGTATTGCTAATTTAAGAGGTGCAAAATTAGACCTCATTGTTGTTTTAATTTGCATACTTTGTTATTTGTGAGTGTGGACACTTTCTCCACGCTTGCTTACTGATGACATTACTGTCTGTGAAAACGAGGTGTTTGTGCCCGCCCCCACCCCGCCCCCTTTCCTTGCCTTACCTAGTCTTTCTGGCAGGGACTGAGGAGACCCAAGTCTGAGTTCGGATTTTATGACTTGGAGAACATTTAGGGAACCAAAGTAATATATTGAAATTCAGAAATTTACATTTAATTTGAGTTTCTTTTGAATGATGTCAAAGTATAAAGAAAAAAAAAAAACTCCAAGGTGCAAAAGGCAGGTAATGCTTCCTTTGGTTCTTTTGAGATGGGGATGGGTGCCCACTTGTGCTGTATGGACCACATGTTTTACTCAAGTTGTGAAATTGCTTAGACCTTCATTGGAGCAAGGCAGAGAATAAATGTACAAATGAAAAACATTTAAATAATAATTTTTTTTAACCAAGTAAAAATACTCCCAGTCAGAATGAAGTAATAAAGAAAAATTCGAATTCTTTTCATTGCAAAACAAGTCTTATTTTGGTCAACAAGACACACACCTTTAGTATTCACTAAATTCTGCACACAAAAGACTTGACAACGGGTTGCTTTTAACCTAGCCAAATAAAGAGAATGGTGGCAAATAGAGGAAAGTGGTCCCTTATTGGATAATAATGCATTAAGGAAGAAACACACGGAACATTTGTGAATCTCTGCCTCCTTGTCTGTAAAATGGGGATATGGTAGCTGTGAGGAGTAAAGGAAATAAAGTGATATAAGTGTGTCTAGAACATTATGATCCAATAATGTACTATGTACAGCACTCAATAATAACGGAATACCTACTAATAAAGGTATAAACTTTATTATAATAAACTGTAGGGATCTTGCTACATTCAACCCCACACACCCAGCTGCAGCCTCTAGCCCTGCTTGGTAACAACACAGGGAGGTGATGGCCTCTTGGTTTCGCAGGGAGGGCCTGCAGTAAGTGGCCCCCAAGTCTTAGCCTGCGTGATGAGAGGCTGCCGACAGCCAATTAGAAATGGCTCTTTTAGAAAAGGGGCTGCCCTAAGGTGCTCAGGTCAAGTGGAACAAAGAAGGGGAGGGGCTCCATCTGCGCCAGAAAGTAACAAAGGGCAAAAGGGTCACTCTGGATCCAGGTGGGGTTACTGAGAAGACAGACACAAAGGTTGAATAAAGCCAAACAGTAAAAAAAAAAAAAAAAAAAAAAAGTAAGAAAAAGAATCCATTTTTAGTCCACGAAAAATATTGCATGTGTGTGTGAGTGACGGGCTGAAAAAAAATATAAAGAAATGGAGCAGTAAGGTTACATGGTGAGAAAATATTGATAGTAATAAAAACTATAAGATGATAGCTATTTAAAAAAAATGTGTGTGGTGGTTTTGGGAAAGGTGTCTTAGTTTAAGCTTATAAGTAAACACTGTCTTGTACCTATTTTTTTATTTTTACAACCGGGAGACCACCACCTGCTTGGTGAACTTCAAAGCTACAGGGAGAATGAATTAAAGGAGATGAAACACGAGGGAGCTTGGAGAATGTTACAGTCCTGTGCAAACTGAACTGACAGCTCGTATCCCCTGCAAAATGGAAAAAGCACAGTCTAAAAAGAGCTTCCCTTGGGCTGTGCTGAGCACCTACTACTGGCAGGCACTTTTCCAGACCCTTGACCTTCACGATCACAGTTTCCACAGCAACCACAAGGTAAACAGGATTATCGCTCTTTTATAGGTGAGGAAACAAGGCTCAAAGGGGGCAACTCACCCAAAGCCACACAGCTAGGAAGTGGAGGAACCAAGAGCTCTGTGGTTTCTGGCATTTATACCAATATCGACCCATGATGGCAGCACACGTGAAGGCATTCTGAGTTGAGGAGGTGCTCGACGGGCCAGCGGGTGTGATCTCCCCCTTCTGTTACGCTGACCCTCTACTGCCACCCCTTCTGCTCTCTTTGCACATACTTCTGATCCCTAAAGAATGTCAATTCCTTGGGGTTTGGGTTCTCTGCCTGAGAGCCTTGAATATATAGTACACGCTCTCCGATCAATCTTTGTAAACGGAGCTGAACACTTGGAAGGCAAATGTGTCCGATATACAAATGTGCTTGTGCATCAAAAAACAGTGCTGCACATTAATTTTCTTCCGTTAGAAGATCCCAAAGTGCAAAGGACTTCTCACAAAGTCCCGTGGCTCGCCCTGTCAATTTATTCACTTCTTCACTATTTCCTACAGCTGGGGAAGGACAACTGCTTCCTCCCAGAGAGAGCAGAGTGGGAGGAGCCCTAGTCAAGAAAGAAATAGGGCCAACTCACATCCTCTACTGTATCTACTAGCAGAGATCTCAGGCACAGTAGAGATCCTGTAATTAAAGAAACTGTGGTCTCAGAATGAGCTGAGGAGCTGCCAGCAAAGGGTTTGGGACCATAGGCACTCTCACACCCTTCTGGAGGGAATACAAATTGGCAATTGATATCAAAACCCTAAAAGAGGTGCATGCCCTTCGGCCCATTAATTACATTCCTAGAAATTTATCCTAATGAAATAATTAAGAATTCCTGCAATGTTTTACCTATGAGAATACTTGGCCTAGAAAAAAACTGGACCCAACTTAAGTATCCAAGAAAGGGACTGATTAATGTATGTATGCCCATCAGATAAAATTTTCTGTAGCCACTTAAAACAATGACAGGCAGAAGAAACATTTAGTGGTCTGGGAAATACTGAGAATACAGTAAGTGAAAATGCAGGTTATAAAACAAGATCATTTTCTTTTTGCTTGTCTGATTTGTTGAATTGTCTCCAATAAACATGTTTTTTATTTGTAAACAGAAAAAAAAAAAAAAAGACTGTCGAAATGTCATTTTGAAAATGCAAAACCAAGAAGCTGACAGGAGGGGTAAATCTGTTCCTTCCCGAAGGGTCATATAGGAGGAAGGCACTAGACAGAGCTGCGGATCAGAGGCCACCACAGAGTGACAAATCTCTTACCAGGAGCCCTGGGGCCCAACCAGTTCCCATCTCTTGGTAAAGTAAAGGAGTCAGAAAATAATTCAGTTCCCATCACTTTTCCTAAGAGTTTGCTGGAATCGAAAATCATGACTGGGGTCTACCCTCCACCTGTCTGTGGAGGAGGTAGGGACAGCATGCAGTACGCACTGGACAGAGTACCTCTGAGAAGTCAGGAGGCAGAAACCCAGGGGAGGAAGGGAGCTGAGTGGCCTTGGGTAGGAGCTGGGGAGGGGGTGGACCCGGAAGGAGCTGAGGATATGACTTCATGAGGCAGAGATGCAGGTACAGCCTTCCTGGCTGGGGTATGTAGACAGCACCCCCTGGTTAAGGAAGGGCAAGTGGCTCAGCAGCTGGGACATTCCAAGAACCCCCCCTGGCTGAGGTGGAGGAAGGTTTGAAAGGTCTGAAAGGTTTTAATCAAGAGAGTGCCTCAGTCAGTGCTGCGTTCTAGAAAAATTGCTGGTGGCCGTGTGGATGACCAAAAGGGAGGTGATCCCATGCCAGCCATGCTCTCAGGGTGTGTACATGTGGGCGTCTGGAGAGACTGGCTGCTCTGGATGTGGGATATGAGGAAATGAACAGGATGGAAATTCCCATTTAATGAGTGGCTCCTAGATGTTGCTGTTGAAAGCCATTACCTCTTCTAATCCTTACAACAATCCAGTAAAAGTCGATCCTTCTCCTAGTTACATGAGGATAAAAACCAGGTTCAGAGAGGTCTACTAACTTACTCAAGGTCACACAGTTAATATCCTACACAACCGACCAGCACTAAACCCAGCTTATCTACCTCAGAAGCCCAAATACCACACCACGGCGTCAGGGGTTCAAAGGCCCTGGTGGGCGTGAGGCAGAGCCCTTCATGTCTCTGACTGAGATTGCTGGTCTCCCATTTTCAGATTCGTGCAGCGCCCTTCTCTTGCAGTCTACTTCACACCACAGCGAATGCAAATTAAAATATGAATATTGATATCAAAACAATATCCAAAGTTGGAATTTCTGTGATTGAGGCTGCAGCGTATTTTAATGTGGAGACAGGGAGCTGACAGTTGTGTGATAAGGTGTGAAAATGTCTGTTCTACGAGAGTCTACCTAGATCTCCCTGCGCCACACATGCTTACTTCCTTCAATACACTCAGAAATGTCTGGCCAGAGACTCAAGGCTTCGCTGACCTAACTGTGAATTTGCTCCTCTCCATCACAAACACATCGACAAGCTCGATTTATCTTTCCAGGATCAAAGATTTAGAAACTTTCAAAAGGGCTGTGAAATGGGCCCATTTGATTCAATCATTCTGATACTGAAGAAAAAAAAAGATCGTTTTTCAGGGGTTTCCCAATGGACGAAAAAATGACATCCTTACGTGCGTGTCTTAATGTTCCCTGCAGGTGAGAAGGAGCACGTGTGTGCCCATCGTCTTTCAAACAGGGCCCAGTGATGCCAGCCTCGCACTGTGTGGCCAGAGAATGCGCTGCGCTGACAGTCAGGAGCCCAGCCATGCGGCATTCTCCTGCACGCCTGGTCCCGCGGGGAGACGCTCTGGAGGAGAGCACCACATTCTCCCTTTAGGAAGCGGCAGCTGGGTAGCATCTTGGCCGTTGCTTCTTCTTCCTAATTTTGAGCAACTCAGACTTCAAAGGAGGCCAAGCTACAGAAGAACTTGACCACCTTGCTGCATTTACCTAGAGAAATATGTTATCCATCCTTCTTTTTTTGTTGTTGGGCTGAAGCAGAGCAGGTATGGAATAAAGCCACACTATAGTATCTATTAACAATTATTTGCCAATGGTCACACAGATACCCTGAAAGCTCCTCTTTCAGATGCTTTGAAAATCTGCAGCACAAATGAACAAGGGATGGAAAAGGGGCCCTGCTCAGTCATATTAGAGATGGACCCTCCACGCACCATGGTGACCTCTCCGCAGGTCGGCCCCACATTTTCTATTTGCAATTCAAACCCAAGGCAAGAGCGCAGAGGGCAAGATTGGGTTCTTGATTATATCTGCGAGGTCACCATCACTATGCAGAGTTAGAGGAGGCCAGGTGGCAGCCCAGTACATTTGAAAATTGGATCTTTGTTGGGAACTGCCTCAATTTCATAGCAGAAACCAAACTTGAGATGTCTGCATTAGACACATTTGGGGAGCCACACAGATATGTTGCCATGTGAAGGGGAGGGGGCAGAGGAGAGGGGAACAAAAAAGCCAAGGAAATATTTTCTACTGCAGTGAGAGAGGTCAGATGGAGCCAAATCCTAAATTAGCTCAAGAAAGGGAGCAGGAGAGCCAAGTCCTGCCTGCACTGAACAATGCTAGAGTTTCAATTACAAAATAGCTCTTCTAAGAACAACTGCAAAATATCAAGTCTATAGAAATCTGTAAGACCGAAGGGGGGAAAAGTGAAAATTGAAAAAGGTGCACTAATAGATCTGTCAACAGTCCGATGGTGACAAGCCACATTTCTATAAAATGCCTTCACCATTGTGTCACCTGAAATGTACTGACACTTTCTATAGAACATTATCTCCTGAAGCTGTTCTTGAAAAGACTGGCAGGGGGAAGAGGAGAAGGGGAGGGAAAAAAAAACCCGCTTTAGACACTATCAAGGAAAGGAAGGGGAGGTGGTGTGGAAGGAGGGTGATCTAGATTGTTTAAGTGAACCTTTGAACCACAACATCAAAAAACTGGGGCTTAACTGGTTATTTGCAGAAATGTTACGTATCAGGAAACGGGGATTTTCGTCAGGCCCAAGGCTTCCACATACCGGGAGGGAGGCGATGGCCTGCAGAGAGCAGATCCGACCAATGAGGAGCATCTGTCCTCTGCCTGAGGAGGGACCCCTTTATTTACTTACTTCAAGGAGTATTCTAACACCAGCTGAGCCTATGATCAGGTCATCAAGGAGGGAAAATTTGGTGAGAGAAATACCCCCTCCCTGCCACTCTGTATTTTATCCAACTCAGTTCCATGCGACTGGGATAGGAGATAAAAAAGTATGGATCACACTTAACATCCAAGGAAAGAATTCCACCTCTCAGCCTCTGGCAGGGCACAACAGACCACAGGTAGGGTCTACGTGGATTTACAGGACAGGATTTTTATTTCGGGACTTGAATCTCAGCTGTTAGAAATTCACTCTCAGCTGAAACTAGGAATTTAAGTGCTTAGTCGTAACAAATTATCTTGCAATTAAAAGAAAGAAATCAATTCCTTGGACCATTTCGAGTTAACGAGAGGTCCTTTCTGACTTCATAAAATTAAAACTGCTTTCAAATTTTAAAAAACTGCTGAGATAGACGAAGGCCCTTGTTAGAGTTGCACATTTTGGGGGTGTGGGATAATGAAGTAAGTGCTCCCAAACATGTTTTGGAAAGCAAACACTTGTCTCAGGAAGGCAGCACGAAACGCTGTCATGGTAAGGGCATGGACACTGGAAATGGATGGGTCTGGAACCGGATCCGGGTTCCGTAGGCTCCAACAGCGTGACCTTGGGCAAATTCCTTTACCTCTGAATCATAGTCTAGGCTCTCTACACGTGAAATGGGAATCATACCCTCCCAGGGTTGTTCTAAGGCTTAAATGTGAAAGCTCCCAGCCTGGAACATCCTCAGTAAGTGGTTATCGAAGAGTGGTAACTGATAATGATGACATTCGTCATCACGTAAAAATGCCCTCTGATGTATTAACCTCCCTGTACAAGGCTAGAGAATCAGGCAGGGGACTCTTGGCCAGCACGGAGCCTGTAGGACTTCGTACCATTTTACTGATGGTCCAAGGAGACAAATCGGAGTCCTGCTGCCCAAGAGTCTCAAACAGGCACTGCTGGGCTCCTCTTGGTTAGGCCAGCACTGTGAGGAGAGCCCGCAGCGTCCTCCTGAAACCCACCCTTTGTGTGCCCTGTATCTGTGCGGTGGCCACGTGCATGCCCGAACCCCGGAGGTCATTCCCCTGGCGATGCTTCTTGATTTTGGTTACCAGCTGCCCCGGGGTAGAGGTCAGCTGTGGGAAGGAGAGGTGCCCAGAGGGGTAGGCTGAGCCAGTTTCTAAGAGCCCCGTGAACCCCAGGCCCGGTGGGGTGGGCAAGGGGCAGACTGATAGCGGTAACTCTGAACTTGCTTGCCTTTGTGGGCTTAAGCCAGTCTTAATGTTATTTGAAGACAGTCTCTGTCTGTGAATATTTATAACAGTGTGAAAACTCCCGGACAGCTGGTAGTGCATTTGGAAGTGTGCTAACAACACTGTATCAAACAGCCCTCTATTGATCACATCATACTTTTTTATGGCCACCCATTTCATATACGGTGCTTATACATTTTGAATGAGAACTTCAAGTACCTTTTGCTTCAAGCGGTTTTTCACCTCTTTTATTCCCATTTTTGCATGATCTTTTGCCTGCATGAAAAATTAATTTAAGTTAAGATTCCCTGTTTCCAGCAGGGACTATGCTTGATTTCAATCCGTCGCGAATCACCTTCTCTGATTACTAGAAAAAAGAAGGAAAAATGGGATCATCAAGTCGAAAACATAATGGCTACAAAAACAAATACAATGTTAAGAGGTTAAAAAAATCCCTTAAAGAGGCGACAGAGATTTTATTTTCTGCATTTTGATGGCCCTAAGTTTTTTTTCTCTCTCCCCCCTTTGGAAGGCCTTCTTCTGCTCTCCGTAATTATTTATCTCGGCAGCCTGGTGACAGCTACCAGTAAGTGTAGATGGAACGGCAGCTTTTGAGGCTGCAAAAATCTGAATATCTGTTACATTTCACTGGGGCAGGGCCTCAGGACCAATTTTCTGCCGGGGCTGACTGGCCTGAGCAGACACATCGCTGGGTTCCCCTGGTGCCGTTTCTTAAATCCCATTTCGCCACACACCCTGGCTTTTATTTTCCGTCATTTTAGACCTGTGTGGTTCTGTTGGCAGCCACCTGCCCGGTTAAAATAACTACAACTTAAGCACAGAAAGGACTAACAAAATTAAAAATGGAAATAAAACAAAACCACCCAAGTGGCTCACAGTCAAATTAGCAAGCAAGAGAAACCATGAGGAAAAAAAAATACTTGAGGCTTGTAAGAGATGGAACATCGGATCGGGAGTGGCCGTGTTCTCCTACTTTCTCTCTGCTGTGGGCACGAGTCTCACAGACAATGCAAGTCCTATAGGGCAGTGGTGAGAGAGATGATGAAGAATTTGGGACAACAGTTAGGGAGCGTGTCCCACCATGAACACTTTTTAGTAACCAGCAAAGGAGCTGCTTCATTTTGACATGATAATGGGGATCCCCGTAGGAAAGGTTTTACCAGAACGCCCGGTTGACCACGCCTCCGGGTCTCAGGGACACAAGCTCGGATCAGCCAGCATTTTAGCCACCTGGTCTACATTTTATTAAAAGCTAAAACCCGTGGCTTCCCATGTCTTGATTGCAGCAACTGTGAGCAGAAACAGTTTAACATGAAAAACATCACTGACCTGGTCACCAAATAATCAACACTAAGTAATTCTAAGAGCCGTGGAAGCTTTAGGAAACAGCACAGCAGCCCCTGAATCCTCTCTGCAGTACAGGGCCAGCTAGGTTGAAGAGTTTCATCATGCCGAGGGACAGATCTGTTCCGATCCTGAGACCAAGACCAGTACTCACAAATTTATAGACAGTCTTCATAGCCGGGTTCGCTTTCGTTTTTACAGTGTTCAGAATTGCTCCGCTTCCTTTCTGTAACAGAAACGTCAATTAGCGATGGGGACTCAAGACAGAGTGGGCCAACACCAACAAAAACCTCTCCTCTTTAAACAAGTTAAGCAACATTCCAAGAGTGTGTAATTTAATTAGACAAACAGGCCTAGATGGTAACCGGTCCCGGGCAATTAGTTATGGCTGCGGCAGAATCGCAATGGGTGGGTACTGGGAGTGGGGTGAGGACGAGGATAGTGATAACTAGCTGCAGGGGGACTCAGTGTTTTGCTTGGCACCTGTCCGCTGGCTGGAAGAAAAGCTCTTCACAGGCTCTCTGAGGCACGGTTTCCCTATAGTAATCTATGGCTTCTCAAGAAATTCTAGTTTATTTAGCTACCCTCGGTCACCTGCCTTCCTTTCCTCACCTTGGTTTTCTGTGTTGTTATTTTTAATCACTCTGGTAGGCTGCCTTCCTTAACATCGATATCTTGAGGGAAGGAAAGAACGAGTAGCCATCAGTGTGAATCATGGCTTTCGTACAAATCCAACATACCAATTTCTTGGTTCAGTTTCTTTGGAAGAACAGAGAAGAGGAGGAGGGTACGAACGGATACGAAGTGCACAGGCTCTAGACATTTTGTGAGGGCTCACTGCGGAGACACCCTGTGTTAGCCGTGGAGGGTACTGAGTCACAGGAAGGCCGGCCTTCACCCTCAAGGGCCTCCAGTCTGGGGGGCGCCCCAGCTGTAGCCGAAGGTCGGGACAGCTGCACTAGCTGTGCGCATAAGGTGTGTCCACGGTCAGAGAAGGCGTTAGAGGATGAAGAGTTCATGTGGGGTACAGGAAGCGTAAGGACATTCTAGGGCTAGAGAATTGCACATTAAAGAAGTGCAGACGCTGGGCAGCCCTGATGTGTTCCTAGCAAGTAGTCAGCGTATCACGGGAGGACTGGGGCTGAGGCCAGATGGGGCCAGCTTTTTTTTTTTTTTTAATTTTATTTATTTATTTGACAGAGAGAGACACAGCGAGAGAGGGAACACAAGCGGGGGGAGCGGCAGAGGGAGAGGGAGAAGCAGGCTTCCCGCTGAGCAGGGAGCCCGATGCGGGGCTCGATCCCAGGACCCTGGGATCATGACCTGAGCCGAAGGCAGACGCTTAACGGCTGAGCCACCCAGGTGCCCCCCTTTTTTTTTTTTTAAGATTTTATTTATTTATTTGACAGAGAGAGACAGCGAGAGAGGGAACACAAGCAGGGGGAGTGGGAGAGGGAGAAGCAGGCTTCCCGCGAAGCAGGGAGCCCGATGCGGGGTTCGATCCCAGGACCCTGGGATCATGACCTGAGCCGAAGGCAGACGCTTAACGACTGAGCCACCCAGGCGCCCCCCCCCTTTTTTTTAAAAGATTTTATTTATTTATTTGACAGAGAGAGACAGCGAGAGAGGGAACACAAGCAGGGGGAGTGGGAGAGGGAGAAGCAGGCTTCCCGCGAAGCAGGGAGCCCGATGCGGGGCTTGATCCCAGGACCCTGGGATCATGATCTGAGCCGAAGGCAGACGCTTAACGACTGAGCCACCCAGGCGCCCCCAGATGGGGCCAGCTCTTGAGGGGCCAGGATATGGAGACCATACTCCAGAGGATTTTTAATCAGATGCATCAATAATCAGATCTGTGGTAGTTTGGAAAGATAATTCTACCTGATTTGAACAAAGAGAGAGACTGGATCAAGTGGGTATATAAAAGAGTAAAATACAGTACTGTAATTACGGGGATTAACTCTTAGCACAATTTTTGGTAACAGTCCGTATTAGAAATTTTGAGCTTTAACTGAAAACATTGCAGTTTGACCTAGAAAGCATTCTATGTTGTAGGACAATATGAAATTTTTACCCACTCATTTATTCCATACAGCTTTCCAAAATTACTCAGTATCCTATTTCAATGGTCCTTTGGAGTATTAAAACTCCTTTTATCAATCAATCAACAAGTCCTTATTGCTTGTCTATGATTTGCCAAGTGCAGTGTTTGGCCATACAAGAAGAACAAAAGAGGTCTTTCACTGAGGAACTGCTTACTCTCGGCCAACTGCAGCCACTTCCAAGGGACCTGCCTTGGCAGAGGTGTGCTCGGCCCACAAGCAGGAGAGAACACTTATCACATTATGCTGGAGTTGTCTGTTCACGCGTGCAACCCCAAGAAGACAGGGAGCTCCCCCAGGGCAGGGACTGTGTCCTCCTGCTCCCCACTGTATCCCTAGTATGGCGCCCGGTCCACAGGAGGCCCTCAGGATATACACACTGATAAACCCAGGCAGAATTTGACTTCTTCAGTGGCTTCTGAAGACCTAGCACTTAGCTTCCAACACAACAAGATGCTGTTCATAACGACATTGAGGGGTGAAAAACTCCATCTTCCCAGAAGCCTTTGCCGTGGAAACTGAGCAGCAAGAGGGGCACATTTTTGGTTTTCCTATGAAAACGTCCCAGTTGCCCTGGTCTAGAAGGAGACCCCCAGAAATGCTCTAGGATAACCATATCCACTCAACATGCCTTGGCCAGCTTCCTGAGACAAGGAGGCTTCCCTGGACAGTCTCATCGTACAAGCCTCCCCCTGGCACTAGATGGCCTGGCTTTACAAGCAGAAGCATCTTCAGCTGAAAGAGTGGAGGGCCCCAGGGCTGAATGACCATCTTGCGGGTGGCAGGGGAAGTGGGGGGCTGCCAGGAGGCTCCAGAGGGGCCCGGGGGGCTCTGTGGGGGTACACACTTACCCGGACTGTGGAGAGCCACTGATGGTAGAGTTTATCGCTGCCTGGGGAAAGAGGAGTCAGAGAAGTGGTTGAAGTTATGTGCTCTCAGGAGTTCCTCGAATTGCTTAGCAAGCAGGACTTGGAAAGTTCAAAATCTGGAGAAACACACTGAGGCTCGCTCCCATGCTCCACTCCCCACAGGAGGCAACAGTGACTTGCTGCCACAAGTTTTCTTTTTCACACAGAGATCCGATCCTATCAGTGCCCTGAGTACCAACTCAAATCCTCCTTCCTCGCTGCCTACTGCATAGAGGTGGGGTCAGACTCCTCAGCACGCCTGACTGTCTTCTCCACTCTTGTCTTGGTCCCACCCACCCTCGGCCTTTCCATCCTGTACGTCCATCCCCTCCACCCTCCATTCCCTCACAAACGCTGTTCCCCTGGCCGGCCACCATTCTCTACTCTCTCTGCTGAGGCTACTCAACCAATGGCTCCCATGTAATGTCCTCTGAACCCTTCCTCTGAATAGTCCACTAAAACGGGTAACTCCCACTCCAAAGTCCACATTCTCTGCAGTTCTGTGAGACACCGCAGGGCAGGCACCTCAGGGCTGCCATGTGCCCACACTGCCAGACACACGCTCAGCCCCAAGACACTGGAGTAGTGATAGGGAAAGAAAAAGGAGGCCTTGTTGGGGGACTTGTTCATTTTTTCTGGTGGGATAAGGAGGTCTTATCACTGGACAGCTTTTCTAGAAGCTCCGAATGACATGACTTCGTTGAACAACACATAAAGCCTGTCTTCTCCTCAGAACTCATACGCATCTCTGAGAGTGCTGCCTCCTTTGTGAAGCCCTCAGGTTACAGAGTGAGGATTAGTAGAGTCCTGTTCTGACTGCATAAAAGCCTATTTCTGCTCCTTTTCCTGTACTGGTTTAACCTGAATTTGTCTTTAGTCATGCATCTCTTTCTCCTACCAGTAAAAGTTCCTCCATGAGGGCAAAACCCGGTCCTCCGTTTCTTACTCTCTGGGGCTCTGGACGTGGCAGGAGCTCAGGAAATGCCCATCACTGACTCGCTGTCACTGTCCGCAGACTGGTTTTATTGGTGCTCGTGCTCTCCGTGCAGCACAGGCTGCTCAGGTCTGTGAACGGGGCTTTGCAGGGGAGATTATGCCTGACTCTCTGAATTTATGGATCACCAGTTATATCACAGAAGCTTAGTCCAGACCAGGCACATGCCCAGCAATAAGAGGGGGCCAACAGCAGGATTATTACTACTTTGCATTTGGTTCTGACTTCGCTGCCACAGACTAAGGCTTCGGGATTTGGCAAGAAGGCCAGACTGGGATTCAGGAGGCAGGGTCCACTACGAACACCTCTCTCGGCCTCAGAGGCCGCCTCTGAATCATGCGGATGACCCCTCCAGGTCTAATGGTCTTTGGAGACTGGGCACTCTGTGATGATTTTCACCTTTTAAAGAAACACTCGTTTAGCAGTGATCCTGTGCCCGCATCTGTCCTCACGGACTCCGAGTCAATCTCCACAGGACTCCCGTGAGGCGGGCACCATTCTCCCCAGTGCACAGACGGGGGCACGTCAGCTGAAGAGCTGCCACGACCTGACCAAACCCTCATGGCTTCCCTGGAGGCAGGGCCCTGACATGAAGCCAGCTCTCCCAACTCAGCGCCTCGAGTGCTTTGTGCCACAGAGTGCTGGCCGCTACGTTTCACTAGACTCTGGCTGCCCAGGGCAAGCGACTGACCCCAGGACAGAGGATCTCAGACATTTTAAGGCCGAGGGTGAAGTGAGTCTCTCCCCAACCCCCACTGAAGGAAAAAGAAGCCACTGCCACTCCCTGCCATGCACACCCTAGTCCCGCATAGCAGCCCACGGCACACAAGGGAAAAGGAACTGCTTCTCACCAGCATACTCGCCCATGCTGATCTCCTCTTCAAAAACGTCACTGAAACCTTCGCCAGAATTGAGAAGGTCCAGTCTACCATCTATAAACTATATAAAGAAAGAACAAAAGCATAACAGCTTAGGCAAAGAAACAGCGGGGGAAACCATTCAGCTGGGCACCTCAGTGCACGGCCAAAGAACCACCACCTTCCCAAGACAGGAAAGGGCCTTTGGAAGAGTGAGTTAAAAAAACAAACAAGTTTTTAAAACACTGGCTCTGCGTTTATGATAACCTGTGCCAGTGAATGGCCTATTTGTGGAGGGTTGGCCTGGTTACTGACCACCCTCTGCACCCATCCCCCCCCCCAGACCCTCAGCCCCCTCCGGCTGGGCCTGGGGGCTTACAGCAGGACAGCTGCCAAAATCCCCATCGGGGGTCCAGATGGGCCACCCTCCACGGGGAGGGCTGGGTACCTGTTTGAAGAGCTGAAGCTGGGTGGCATTCTGCAGGAACTGCCTCATGGCTCCCGAGCGATAGTGGGACACGAAGGCTTCTTCACAGAAGGTGATTGGCTCCTCCTGGGAAATGGAGATGGGAAAGGAGGGTTGGAGGAGCAGGTGAGGGCGGCGGTCAGTTCTTAAACTCGGTTAGATGGCACTTCTACAGCTAATTTATTTAATCCTCACTTACTTGGTGAAGTGGCTACTGTCATTGAAGGAGTCCTGTTCTATGGAAGAGGAGGCAGTTTCAGAGAGCAAAAGTCATCCCCCAAAGTCCCAGAGCTGGGGGGCGCCTGGGTGGCTCCGTCGGTTAAGCCTCTGCCTGCGGCTCAGGTCGTGATCCCAGGGTCCTGGGATCGAGCCCCGCATCGGGCTCCCTGCTCTGCTGGAAGCCTACTTCTCCCTCTCCCACTCCCCCTGCTTGTGTTCCTGCTCTCGCTATCTCTCTGTCAAATAAATAAATAAATAAAATCTTAAAAAAAAAAAAAAAAAAGTCCCAGAGCTGGTAGGAGGCCGAGATTCCGAACCTACCCATGGCCCTTTGCGCAGGAGCCAGTCATATCCCAACAGCAAGTTAGTGGGATGTGCCCTCCAATGTGGTAGCTTCCAGACTTTTCTTTTCACTTTGAAGAGAATCCAAGTAGCACCTTATGCAGAAGGAGCCCTGCTACATAAAACTGCCCAGCTGCTCTTTGGGAAGTGGGGGGGTGCGGCGGTGTTGCGGGGGCAGGGGTGGTGGCTGGGCTGTCTCCTCCCCCACCCTAGCACCTTTGCAATCCCCAAGGCACCGGCCGTGGAACACAGTTTGAAAACCATTTACACAGTGATCTCGATCAATAGCAAATTATCATTTTAAAGTAATTATTTATATTAAAAAGCAGGGCTAATCAAAAATAAGATATACCATCCAGTCAACTATGTGCTTACGCCGTTTGATGAGCAGGCATGCTTTTACCAAACTATGTTTTATGAGTGAAGAAAACAACAGCCTAAGCTGAAGACACATCCCATCCTTGTAGTCAACACCTCGATCCTTCTTTGAAGGGATGTGGAGTGCTCATCTCCTCAGACAAGTCTTTAATTTCGGTGGTATATCCTCAATTCTGAAAGATCAGACTTTTACACCTTGAACTGAATTAAAGGTACCCCTCCCTTCACAGACTTGGTGACAAACACAGAGATGTTTGAAGCTGTACTTTTATCCTGTTTTAATGAGTTACGTGAGTGTTAAATTTAGTCTGGCTGCTGTGAATTCCAAGGGTTCCTCTTGCTTAAATCTGGCCAATATTAGCTCAGCAATGGGGCAAACATTCCACAAAAGGTGCAAGGATGACCCCAAAAATTAGGGTGGGGGAGGGCTTGTTTTTATACAGGTAAGCCCCACCTAATTTTACAAAGGATCTGAGGCAGCCTACACAAGCACCCAAAAGAAAGAAAAAAAAAATCAGAGCCGAAGAATACGTAAATATATAAAATGTGTTTACTTGGGAAAAGAGTATCTGGATATGCAGATCCTATATGTTTTCTAAAACAAAGTCTCAAAATTAGCTCTGAGCTTCCTGGCTTCGAAAGCAAGAAGGGAAACATGCAAACTTTACATTGTCTGGGAGGACAAAAAGCAGCACTGGTTCCTCAGGAAAAAGAACTTTTCGTGACATTGACTATTTTGGCACGGCTTTACATCTTTCTTGCTGAACAGGGAGATGGGCTAGTAATTAACTAAAGCCCGCCGAGCATCCCATCCCTGTGGCCTGTAAGTTCTGCTTCCATACTGGGAAGCACAGCAGGGCAATTTTGTCCCTCTCCAGGCCATCTCATCCATGAGTGGTGTCACCCATACAAGGATGACCTGTGATAAAATTGGTGCTCAGGCCTCCTTCGCTCCAAAACCGTATGTCTCAACGCCCACCTGGATGGCCCATTAGCACCTCAAACTCAAATGGCCCAAACTCCCAATTATTAGCCCACCTGGACTGTACCCCACATCTGTTTCTTTCTTAAGCTGGCATTATCATAGCTCCCCATGGACCTATCACACTGCCCAAGTCCTCCTTGCTTTGCCAGTGAAAGGAATCAGGGTTGTCCCTGCTCACCATCCCACTGCCCGCCATGGTGGAGATTTAATTCTATGTCCCTTCCAGTTGCCTCCCTCCATCTACTCCAATTCTTCGAGATTTCTAAAATGCACATTGGATCATGCTACTCTCCTACCCAGGAACTTTGACTGCAGAGGCATTATGCTGGGTGGTTATTCGATGAATGTTCAGTTCTTCCACTAGACTATAAGCTTCATGTGGGCATGAATGGCACCTGTTTCATTCAGCACCGTACACCTAGCAGGGTGTGACACGTACACAGGGCCCTGTTGGAGAAGAGAGGAAAAGTCCTAGCTCCCTACCTGGGCAAACAAACCCTTCCTAAGCTGAGCCCAGCTTTCTTTTCCAGGGTCCTTTTGTGTCCCTTTTCCTCTGCTCCCCCAGGTACCTTCTGCTCCAAAGGCATCTCCTGATCATATGCCATGTCCTTTCCCACTTGCTTCCCTGCTTTTTCCAGTTCTGTTCCTTGTACCTGACTATCCTCATTTTCCTTCTTTCTTTTTTTCTTTCTTTCAAGATTTTATGTATTTGAGAGAGAGCGCGTGCGCGTGAGCACACAAGCAGGGGGGAGGGGCAGATTGAGGGGGAAAGAGAGAATCTCAAGCAGAGCCCCTTCTGAGCGTAGAGCCCAATGCGGGACTTGATCCCAGGACCTCGAGATCATGACGTGAGCCAAAGGCAGACACTTAACCGACTGAGCCACCCAGTTGCCCCTAGACTATCCTCTTAAACACAGGCCTCTGTGTGGTAGTCACTCATTCTTGCTCAGGGCTCCCACTCTCCCTGGTGTACCCCTGGGTGCTGAGTAATCTTCACTGGTGTCCCCTGTGAGCAGGAGCTCAAGAGGGCAGAGGCCCTGCCAGACTCCCCGCTACACTGCCCAGGGACAGTGCAGAGCCCACCGCCCAGTTAGAAGCTCAGGGATACTGGCTAAAGAACCACAGGATGAGCTTGACCCTGGTTCCTGCCACAGGAGCCCAGTGGTCTCGCTGTAGCTGAGATACCACTTGACCGGACAGTAAAGAGGTCTCCGAGCACGATGCCAGGTGAGTGACATTTGTGTCCAGGGAGTTTAGAGCTCCTTGGAGGAAACGCTCTTGGAGTTGTTAGCATTCACTCCTAGAGCTGTGGCCCAGCACTGCCAGGAAGTAGTCTGCTGAGGGACCAATAAATTCGAGAGAGCTTGCAACCAGATTTGTACGTAAGGGTAGCCTGAGGCAGGATTTAGCTGTAGGAGAGCAGAAAGAATCTCAGCTTTGGGGAAACATGGACATTTTGGGCCCGTTGTCTACTTACTGGAGGTGACATCCCCCTGGGTCAGATGTCTGGGCCATAAAAACGGACAAAAGGACATGGGCACGGAATGGAAAGATGAAGGGAGAACGTGACGATGGGGGCTTTTTCTGCAAACAAGCTTCAAGAACAACATCAGCAGTGTTGGTCAGACGTGGGAATGAAGACTACCATGGAGTGTAGCCCTACTGAAGTGGGGTGGGTGGCCAAGTGTCCCCAGGAGACAGGAGAGGAAAAGGCTAACCCGCCTGGGGCAGCAGGTCAGAGATCGTGAGAGGAAGTGGGTACATTTCAGCAGAGTCTAATGGGGAGAATAGGAGTTAGGTAAGCAAATCCTACAGGTTCAGGGCAACTGTTTTATCCTAATCCTGGTGAAACACAGGGACATTGCCACCCATTGTCATGTATGAAGGTCTGACTGGCCACAGGCTAGGAGGGCTCCTTCCCCTGAAGCCCCAGCCCAGAGCTTCTCTTGAGGCCTCAGTTCTGTTTGTCCTTGAACACCTGCAAGAGGACAGGTGAGTTCTTGCAGGTGGGAACCCTTCAGGTTCTCCTGGTAGATGGATACTCAAAGCACCACAGTGCCTCAGAGAAGAACACTCCGGGGAGTAAGCAAGTCACTGTGAAGGCTCTTTCTGCCACAGGACCATCCATATCAAAGATGCTGAACCATTTGCCCCAGCTACTCTGTTCCCAATCCTGTAGTCGAAATGGCCCACTCCACTCTCTGCAGCCGAGAGGAGCAAGGCAAAGTGTATCCCTAAGCCCTCCGTTGTTAAGAACGGCTGATTTAGTTCTCCTGTTATGCTGATTAAATCTTTTGTCTTCTTAGGCGACACTCAGCAATGGGACTACTGGCTGACAGCTCCATGAACGCAGGCAAGTCAGGCCGTGAGCATTCAAGCTTAGATCACATTAGTAGAGTTTTCCATCTATGACCCGGAGGACAGTTAAACACAGCTGCTTAACCCTATCAAGGATTTTGTTACAAACAGAGAAGTTTTACTCTCGGATTATCTTCTTGACATATGGAATCAATTGAAAATTCCAGTGCTAATGAATCCATCTTTGTTAACAGGTAAAGTTGGTGATTCCAAACGTTTTTGATACTTCCAGAAATAAATGGCTTTTATCCACAGCACTGTGGGTACTGGCATAAAAATAAAATCTCCTCTCAGAGTCTTCTGAGGGGACAACTTTGCTTGTTTTGCTGATCCATACTTATAGTACTAAACTCTTATTTTCCTTCACAAATTTACCAAAATTTTATGTGCACATTTATTCTGCGATTCTAAGAAAAAAAAAAAAAAGGTGTTCATTCTTTTTGGCCCTTGCTTCAAATTTTAAAAACAATAGTTTTGGAAGCTTCATCCATTCACACATTTTAAAAACACCTAGTATGTGCCAGGGCGCCTGGGTGGCTCAGTTGGTTAAGCGACTGCCTTTGGCTCAGGTCATGATCCTGGAGTCCCGGGATCGAGTCCCATGTCGGGCTCCCTGCTCGGTGGGGAGTCTGCTTCTCCCTCTGACTCTTTTCCCTCTCATGCTCTCTCTCACTCTCTCTCTCTCCAATAAATAAATAAAATCTTAAAAAAAAAAAAAAAACAACAGGGGCGCCTGAGTGGCTCAGTCATTAAGCGTCTGCCTTCGGCTCAGGTCGTGATCCCGGGGTCCTGGGATCGAGCCCCG